CTTCACGGAGGGGTGCCCACTGCTATGACAGAGCCTTGAGCACCCAGGCAGCTTAGGCCTCCCCCACGCAGAGGGGCAGTCATGGGCTGTGAAGAAGGTTACCTGCATTGCCACAGACGCAACAGGGTTTGGCTCTTGCTGGCCCTCCCTGCCCCCAGCACTCTGCACGTCGCCTCTCCAGTTCTGCCTGGAGGCCACTCCCTGAGCCACCAGCCAGGCCCATGTTGGCTCAGTGTGAGCTCTCTCCTTCCAGACACTTAAATTCCAGGGGCAACTAACAAGGACCTGCACAACTCTGTCATTCAGAACTGCCTCTCTAACCAGGCTGAGGGCTCCAAGAGCAAGGCCACATCTTTTTTCCAGAACCTAGAGAATACCAGTGGCTGTGTGAAAGTGGACAGGGAGAATGTGGGGACAGCAACACAAAAGAAGGCTAGGGGACCACCATGCTGAGGCACAATTCAACTAGACTAGTGTCCTGGTCTGCAACACAGGACACAGTAACGAGCGCTTCGATGCAAGGGAAAAAGGTTCCACTTTCTCTGTGCAACAGCGAACAAGTCTAACCCCGTGCTGGCGTTTTCTGACGGTACCAACACTGCATAAGAGAGAGCCTGCACTGCCAAGGGACATAGGCTGTGTGGTGAGAACACGCCTTCAGTTTTAACTCTTACAAAGAAAATGGGTTTATTATCACAAGCCTGCAACACTCATCACTGGAATGATTGATTTTAAAACAATTATCAATAAAACATGGTCTCCTAAGAAAACCAAATAAGACTGAACTGGGTTTGCGGGGCAGGGAACCCCAGGGGCAGGAGAAGCCAGGTCTGGAGCCAGGAGGCTCCATATCAGAGGGGACTTCGGTGACCCCACCGGCACAGCTCATCTTGTTGCTACATCACTGTGTCCTCCTTCCTCCCGTAGGAGGTCAGAGACAGAGGAAGCTTCCAGGTGTGCAGCAGGCAGGGGTGGTCTTCAGGAAATCCATTTCTGAAGTCTCAAAAGTCTTTGGTCCTCTGTCCTTACAACTGACCAAAATGATACGTGTGACAATCAACTGCACACCACTAACAATTATACTAATTCAGTGCACAACTAACATTTGGATAAGCCTGCACAGTCAAGAAATTTCTTCAAGTTAAATTTCATTTGCCTTTTTTTTCCTTAGAGGAATATGTTCCAGTGACAATAAAAGAGCCTCGAGAATAAAAATATACATACTGGAATAAAATCCTGGAAGTAGGAACAGAATAAAAGTATAATTTCAAGGAGATAAACAAATAATATAAAATTTCAGACATGCATTTAAGAACGGATAATGGTAAGCCAAAAAATGGCAGGCAAAAATAACAAACATCACCCTGAACCTGGTATCTAATACAAACACTAAAAATGGACCATATATCTAAAGTTCACATAAAAATAAAAAACCTTCTTAAAAACTACAGAAAATCTTGTTACCCAGGGCTAGGTGGAGAGTTCAAAGACACGATGCCAGAAGCACAGGCTGTAAAAGAAACACTGATGATGTGGATTTGGTCAGAAGGAAAAACTTCTGCTCCGGGGAAAACCCTAATAAGAGGGTGAGGACGAGCCGCAGACAGAGCGAAAAGTCTGTAAACCGATCCATGGCAAAGGGCCCACACCCAGAACTCTGAAAGCTCACTAAACAATTAGTTGTAAGATGGGCAAGAGGTATGAGAGACATTTCACCAAAAAGGACACACAGATGTCAAATAAGCACAGGAAAAGATGTCCAACATCATCAGCCATGAGGGGAGTTCAAACTAAAACCATGATGAGGTAACACAGCTACAATAAAAACTAGCGGCAATGCCAAACGCCAGCAACGACGTGAGAAATTTGACTGCTCGTATACCTTGCTTCCGGGAATGTAAAATGTCGTAGCCTGTCTGGAATCTGGTTTGGCAGTTAACTTATAAAGCTAAATATCGAACTAACATATGACCCCACAATTGTACTCCTGGATATTTAATCCAGAGAAATGAAAATTTCTGTCCAAAAAAATTCTGTACATAAATATCCAGAGCAACTTTATTGTAACAGCCCCCAAATGGAAACCCCCAAAAGCCATTCAATCTGTGAGTGGTTAAGTTCTGGGACATCCACACCACAGAAAACCCTGCAGCATGAAAAGGAAGGAGCCACTGACACAACGTGGCCAGTCTCATTGGAGCTGAGCCGCTCTCAAAGTCCCCACCTTCTTACAGAATACCTGACGCAACGTGACTGTGGAAACAGAGAACAGGGGCTGGGGACAGGGTGGTTAGGGATAAAGGGGGACCCTGGGGAGCTGTTTGGTGCTGGGTGTTCACAGAAATCGACATTGTGCTCTAGCTGCATAAAATGCAGCCGGAGAGACCGGGTGAAGGATATATGGGAGTCTCTCTGTACTACTTTTGCAGCTTCCTGTGAATTCCTAATTATTAAAAAAAGTTGTTTGTTTGTTTGTTTGTTTGTTTTTAAGTTTTGGGACATATACAAGAATATTGCAAAACATGGAAATCAAGTCAGGGCCAGCAAGTCTGGGAGGGGTGAGGCCCACACTCTGAGACACAGGAGTCAGGGGATGCCCAGCCCCGGCAATCCTAGAGCAGGAATCATGCGGCAGCTATGGAGGCCCAGCAGCATGGGGCAGTCAGCAGTCCAGCCCCATGGAGTGCCCATGGCTCCCGACAATCACTGCAGGCAGGCTACAGGAAATGCAACAAAGCTCACAGTCAGGCAACATAAAACCATGGAAATAGAGATGAGCACACACCTGGGGAGAAAAATCAACACAAACAGCAGGCACTGAGCCCAAACACGACTCCCACTTGAGGAAATAGGTCTTACAACAGATTAGAGGGGGCGCCTGGGTGGCTCAGTCGGTTAAGCGTCCAACTTCAGCTCAGGTCATGATCTCACGGTTCATGGGTCCGAGACCCACATCAGGCTCTGTGCTGACCACTGAGAGCCTGGAGCCTGATTCGGATTCTGTGTCTCCCCCTCTCTCTGCCCCTCCCCTGCTTGCGTTCTGTCTCTCTCTCTCTCTCTCACTCAAAAATAAAATAAACATTAAAAAAATTTTTTAAAACAACAGACTATAAAAGAATCTAATGGCCTTTGAAGGATAAGACAAAATACAACTAAATAAACTAACTGGAGATATTAGGTATGCAAAAAACTGTCAAAAGTAAAATCATCATGATATAGAATGAACAGCAAGAAAGTAAAGTGCTAAAGAAGAAATCAAAGCTGGAAAACACATAAGGAGCCATCTGAGGAGACAGAAGACCCCATGTCCATGTCAAGAGCTCCACAGAAAGAAAAGCCGTGCAAAGCATTTTTCTAGAACTGAGGAAAGACACACATCTCACACCGACAAGGCCCAAGGGAACAGGCCTACTCGTGCAACTCCGGAAGGTTGCAGAGAGGAAATCACACATGACCCACTAATGACGAACAGTCAGACTCACCAGCAACGCCAGGTGCAAGAAATCCCAAGGGAACTAGACCTAGAGCTCATCCCCAGCCAGATCAACACAGAACTGGGAAGGCAAAACATGACTATGGACATTCTGAGAAAACGCAGCAGGCACGGGCACCGAATACTCACTGGTGGCAAAAGCCACCTCACCCAGCATGACACTGGGATCTCGCTGCTTGTTCCCTGCTCCCAGGGGCCTACCATGAAAACAGGGCGTGTCATCAGGATGTCCCTCGTCCCTACCCTCTGTCACACCAAGAAGCTAACCAAGTTCCTGACTACTTCTCTCCAGAGTCAGTGCTCAGCCTTCTTGTGCTGGAATGCAAGCCCCAGGCCCAAAGCAGAGGAGGAGGTCTCCACACAAGCATCTGATGCATCTGGTCTTAGCGGGCAACAGACACCCAAAAGCAGCACAAAGCCCCGAAGGCGGGCTGGGAGGGGTCATCTGCCGGTGGTTCACACCTGAACTGTCAGCAGCCTTTCCTCATCTTCCCAGGCCCACAGACAACCACCTGTGGGGCAACCACTGCCATTTACTGGCCTTTCTCCTTCACGAACAGAGTCCGTCTGCCGTCACCGTGACAAAAGCGAATACAAACAGGAAGGAAACAGCACAACAGACACGAGAACAGCCCCATCCCGACGAGGATCGCATTACCAGGCCCAGGATGGATTTTGGCATGGTCTTCCGTGCCCTGTGAACCTTGACGTCGGCACCAGGGCCCGAGGGCTTCTTGTCCTCCGTGTCTTTACTCGCTTCCGCAAGCTTGGCCGGTGCTGTGGCTGGCGTCTGAGAAAAAGCACTAGGAGTCCTCCCTTTGCCGGAACCTCCGGGAAGGGTTTTTGCAGCATGACCAGGAAGCGAGGAAGCCAAAGTGCTGGTAATCCGCATGGTCTGTTCCTGCAGGGGTGGTTTATTCAAGAAGTACCCATTGCTCCCGATGACAGAAGTCTGTGTGAAGTCATCTGTGTTGACGTGGTTTTGCTTCCCCGTTTCACTGTCTCTGTCTGAAACCCCATTTTCAGCTATTCGAGCTAATTTGTTGGTACCGTCCTGTGGGCTGACCGCTGTGTTCTCCTGAGTGTGCTGGGCTGCAGTCACGTGGCTGCTAGCCTCGCTCTTTCCACAGGACCCATTAGCTTCGCCGTCTGAGGCCAGGGGGCCCTCTCCTCCCTGCTTCTCCGATGAGCCTCCATCGGCTGCCATAGATATCTCTGTGAACAGAGGAGACGGTGTCAGAGGTTGTGGACCTGCCCTGCCATGACACGACCCACACAACAGTTACCATTTCTCTGGGTAGTCTACATAAAGCTCTCCAAGGGAAAATCATTTCATGTCATGTACACAAAGATTTAAGGTCAGAGTAAATGTAAAATGATGTGTTAGGGGCGCCTGGCTGGCTTAGTCAGAAGAGCAAGCTACTCTTGATCTCAGGGTTGTGAGTTAAGCTCCATGTTGGGTTAAAGAGATTACTTAACAATAAATTTAAAAAGGGGTGCCTGGGTGCCTCAGTCACTTAAGCATCCAACTTCGGCTCAGGCCATGATCTCACGGCTCCTGAGTTTGAGCCCTGCAACAGACAGTTTGGAGCCTGGAGCCTGCTTCAGATTCTATGTCTCCCTCTCTCTTTGCCCCTCCCCAGCTCATGCGCACATTCTCTCTCTCTCTCTCTCAAAAATAAATACTTTAAAAAATTAATTTAAAAATAAAAATTAAAAAATCTTTTAAATCTAAGAAAATAAAATAAAATGTCTTAGACATTAGTTTTGGAAGTTAGTTGGTTAAAGTCCAGAGAAGGCCAAACCCTGAACAGGAGAACCTGCCCTGAGCTCAGGCATGCTGGCTATCTGTCCATCCTGTGTGGGAGGTACACTAAGGGCCTGCAGTCCTGCCCTGGGGGACACAGTGTAAAACCAGAAGCACAAGATAAACACTCCTCAAGATTCCAAAATATTACACGGATTTGCATATCCACCAGGAACAAACACACCACTGTAAAATAAAACTGTTTAAAGATAGAAAGGTTTCAGAAGTAGCTTCACAAGAACAAACTTAAAGAAAGTGGGTAATAAACCAGAAAAAGGGTCCTATTTTCAGTATATCAGTCAGAAAGCCCATTACAAACCCCTGGACTACAAGCCTATTCTCTGTAAGAGCTCGGTCTCCCCGGACAGTTCTGACAGACCTTGTCTGGGACCAGTTATATATAAATGCCCTTTTATATCAGAAGATCTACAAAGATATGTAACCTCATGGCAGACCAAAGCAGAAAGCCCATGACTACACCATGGATGCACAAAGAGCTTCGGTACCCATCCCAGTCCCTTTACTCCAATAACTCTCACGGGAGACCCCATCATTATGATACTGTCTGTCCCTCTGCCCTAGAGTGTCAGGTCTGCAAGGAGAGTTCTGTCTGTCTATCCACAACATGCCCGGAGACAGAAACAGGGCCTGGGACACAGTATGAGCACGGTAAATACTTCCTAAATGATTACACAACTATAAATTAAGGGTTTTCATTTAAAGTTTATTTCCTTATTTTTGAGAGAGATAGGGAGAGAGAGAATCCCAACCAGGCACCGTGCTGACAGCATGCAGCCGGGCGTGGGGCTCACACCCACAAACTGTGAGATCAAGAGTCGGACACTCAACCGACTGAGCCGCCCAGGTGCCTCTCCACCACCTTATGCTACAATATAGAGGAAAGACCAATTTTCCCCAACACCAAAGTAAATTATGAAAAAGAACAGCAAAGGCACAGGGAGACGGGTTCCTTCCCCTGGAGAAGGGTACCACAGGCCTCTCCACTACCCCACCACAAGAGGAGCTGGGGTGCCTGCTGGTCACAGCAGGGTCGTGGACAGCAGCCCAAGGGGGCGAGCTGGAGAGAAGGGAGATTTCCCAGGTCACAGCTTAGACCAGCTGGTTCTGAATTTCTGAAGGTGGGCTCCACACATCTGGGCCTCACCGAGACCTCCAGTGGCTCATCCACAAATCTGAGTTTGAGAAACACTTGTCCTAGGAGGTCCGAAAACCTCAAAGCTGACAAGGGAAAACGTAGAGAACAGATCTGTGACCTAGAAACAGGGAAAAGCTTTGTTATTCATCAAAAGCATAAGTTGTAACAGTAACAAGAAAAGATAAATGCGATTACACAGAATGATGTAACAAGATATAGGTGTCTGGTCTCTGCCCCTGGCTCCTGACACAGCTCAGGAAGGGACTCTGGATGTGCTCTTGGATGGGGCTGGTCACCAGAAACACCAAGTCACAGTAAGAAGCTTGGACTCCATCCTCCAGAGAGGGGAGAGGGGCTGCAGACTGAGTTAATAATGCATCATGCTTACATGATGACACTGCCACAGAAATCCCCGAACCACAGGGTTCAGACAGCTTCCAGGTGGGTGAACACACCCACATGGGGAGGACGGTACACCCAGAGAGGGTACCGAAGCTCTGCAGCCCTTCCCCAGTACCCTGTCCTATGCATCACTCCCACTGGGCTGTTCCTGAGTTCTGTAAGTGTTCCAGCAAATTACCAAACTCGAGGAGAGCATCGTGGGAATCTCCAATTCACAGCCCATCAGTCAAAGTTGTGTGTGCCCTGGGGACCCTCTGCTTAGGACTGGCATCTGAAGCGGCGGCAGCTTTGTGGGACCGAGCCCCTGACCTGTGGGATCAGCCCTGAGTCCAGGGAGACAGTATTGGAACTGAGTTGCTTGTGGGACACCCAGCTGGTGTCACAGAGAGCTGGAGACCTGCCTGGTGTGGGAAAGGCCACAGGCATGGTGTTGGCTTGTCCTGAGAGTCCGGTAAAGAAGGGAAGGGCAGTGTTCCTCTCAGAGGTCGGAACTGTAGCTATCTGCCATTGCTACCAGTACCCATCTTTCTGAAGGTTCTGGCCAGAGCCACCAAGCAAGAAAAAGTAACAAAGGGTGTTGGGGTCAGAAAGAAGCAGCAACGTTCATTCCTAACTGACATGATCCCATGTAGAAAATCCAAAGTAACCAACAAGTAAGCTGCCAGAACCAAAGGCAGAGTTTAGAGAGACTGATTATAGAAATGAAACCTAATCTAAACGGTATACCTTATATAAAAATTAATTCAAAATGGAAAAGAAATGTAAGTGTAAAACTATGAAACTTTTAAGAAAAAAAAAAAAAACTGAAAAAATCTTCAGGATCTAGGGGTAGGCAAGACATCTTATCCTTGACACCAAAGCACAATCCCTAAAAGGAAAAGCAATAAACTAGACTTCATCAAGAGTAAAATTTCTCAAAACTAAACAGCAGCAACTCCAAACAACAAAGAGACGGCGCTTGACAGCCACGGATGGGAATAATTACCAACACAGACAAGGACAGGACATCACCGCCGCGCACCGCACTATATTGCTGCAGTGGTTCTGGAAAGTTTTGGCAGCTTCTTCCAGGACTAAACACGCACTTAGCACGTGACAGCAAATGTGGTCATGGGCATTTACCCCAGAAAAATGGAAAGCTGCGCCCAAACCAAGATGAACACACATGTTCTCAGTGGCTTTACTGCAGCCGATAAGAACTGGAAACAGCCCAGATGTCCTTCAGAGAGTGAAAGGTTAGACAGATGTAGTCCATCCACACCACAGACTCCTACTTCAGAAAAGAAAGGAACAAACTGCTGACATGTGAAGTAACCTGGACAAATCCCCCAGGAAATGATGCCGAGCGAAAAAAGTCAATGCCAGAAGGCAGCACTCAGTACAACCCCATCGACAGAACACTTGTGAAAGGACAAAACCATGGCACTAGGGCCCAGACTCGCAGCCAGGGCGTAAATGCAGGGGGCCATGGGGGAGGAGCCCCTGCACCATGAAGTGCTCTGCATCTGGCAGTGGGAGGGCACACAAACCTACACTGTGATGACGGACCGGGGATAAATGCACACGTATGCGAGTAAAGCCAGGGAACCCGAGGAACCCAATACGCAGATTTTATCGACGTCAATATCCTGGTTGTGCTGTCATTACAGTTATGCAAGATGTCACTACTGGGGGAAACTGGGAAAAGCATACATGGGCTCTCTCTGTGTTAGTGCTTATAAATGCATGTGGACCTCAATTACCTCAAAGTTCAGTCACAAAAAGATAAAGTGCAATGGAAAACCGGAAAGTAAAATTTTAGACACACCATTTACAACAGCATAAGCAAATACAGAAGAATCATGGCGACACCTGTACACCGAAAACAGTAACGTGTGGCTAAGAAAATTTTAAGAAAAGTAAAATAAATAGAGATATAAAATGGCTTGTCCATGAAACAGAAGACTCAATATCGAGTCTTACATGTGAGTCAAGGAGCCGAGCTCTGACCCGGTGAAGAAAAGAATTCTCAGTGATGGGCATTCAGCAGAGATCCCGAACAGCTAACACCTTACTAGTAGGACTGAGCTACACCTGCTACCTGAGAAACGTTTCTCACACAACAGCAACAAACCAACTATTAACTGAAGGTTACTCTATTTCAGTGCTAAAAATGCTTACAAACAAACCAGTAAGAGGCCAAATTTGTCTGTGAATTAATCAATCAAGTGCCCTGGAAAAGCCCAACAATCTATTAGGGAACAGGGAGGTAGGGGAGACAACCAAACATAACATCGTGTTCAAGCCACAACAATATTATTCAAAACATCTAACCAAAATCACAAGACCTGTGAAGAAAAAGAGAATCCACAATGGAGAGACAAGTCAGGCAATGAAACACCCAGACAGCGGCGCCTGGCTGCCTCACTCAGTGGAGTCTGTGACTCTGGACCCTTGGACTTGTGGGTTTAAGCCCCACATTGGGTGTAGAGATTACTTAAAAATAAAATCTTTAAAACCAAAACCACAAACACCCCGACATGACAGCAATGGTGGAAGCAGACGGTACAGGCATTCCAACAGCTATTCCAGCACTGAACAGCATTTAAGGACAGTAAGAGGCACCGGCACCACAGCCATCCGTCCACACGGACAACTGATTTTCAACAAGAGTGCAAGGACAATTCAACAGGGAAAGAACAGTCCTTTCAACAGATGGTACTGGGACAAGTGGGTATCCACTCACAAAGGAATGAAGCCGCACCCCTATGTCACTCCATGTACAAAAATTAACTCAAAATGGATCAAAGACCTAGCTATAAGAGATAAAATTATAAAGCTCTAAGAAGAAAACACAGGCATAAATCTTTGTGACCTTCTATCAAGCAATGGTTTCTTAAATGTTACACCAAATGCAAAAGGAGCCCAAGAAAAAACAGATAAACTGGATTTCATCAAAATGAAAAACTTCTGTGCTTCAAAGAGACACCATCAAAAAACTGAAAAGACAAGCCACAGAATGGGAGAAAATATTTGCAAACTATATCTGCTAAGAAACTACTATCTATGATATATAAGGAACTCTGACAATTCAACAATAAAAATCAATAACCAATTTAAAAAGCGGGCAAAGGATCTAAATTGATACTCCTCTGAAAACATACAAAGGGCGAATAAGCACATGAAAAGATGCTCAGCATCACTAATCATCTGGAAAATACATATCAAAACCACAATCAGACACCAGTTTGTACCCGCCCACTCAGATGGCTATAATCAAAATCACAGCCAGTAACAAGAGCTGACAGGAAGTAGAGGAACTGGACCCCTCCCACACTGCTGGTGTGAGTGTAAAATGTATCCCTGCTGTGGAAATCAGTCTAACAATTCCTCAAAAGGAAGTCAAGACCTTGGCTCAGGGACAGTGTGTGAGAGAGGAAAATGGCACCTAGCATTATTTATCCACAACTTCTATCAGAAAAGGTCCCCGGAGGGGAGCCAGGGAGGGAAAAAGAAGAGTTGGAGACCGTGGGTGCCCATGAAAGAGGACACTTCAAGGAGTGGAGGGGAGCACAGTACCATGAAGAAACCCTCAGGCAGGTCTTAAGAGATCCCACCTGGATGAGGTCCCCCAAGGCCCAAAGTGAGGGCAGGATGCAGGGCAGGACCACAACCCTCATTCGACCACGCAGGTGCCTGACTGGGTCAGATCTGAACTGGGGGGCCCCCCAGAGAGCAGGGTTCCCACTGGGGAGGAAGTGAGGCTTGGAAATGGTCAGAGGAAGCAAAGCAGACACTGCTCAGCTTCCCAACCCACCTTGCTCCCAGGAGCCCCTAGAACTCTACTGGAATCGGAAGCAGCTCTGTTACAAAGGTGTGTCAGTGCAGCATGTCATGCAGAGAAAGACAGCCTGCCCTGTGGCCTGGCCGCCGGGGCACCCGCATTCCACGCTCACCCACAGTGGCCCTTAGCTGTGTGCACAGTGCTCACGTGAGGCGACTATGTGGATGTGAAAAGGTGTCACAGCAGCTCCTGGACTGCCTGAGAAGCAGACAGGGGCTGCAGCAATGCATGCTGGGTGGCCACGCTGCAGCTCAGGAAGGGCACGGAAGGGCAGCCACCAGCGTCGGCGGCAAGGTGGTACTCGGCAGGCCATCCCACCACTGCCGGGATGGCCTGCAAGGCTGCATCGGGGGTACTCAGAGGCACACCCACCGAGACACGCAGGTCAGTGATGGGCCACTGCGGGCCAACCTGCGGGGCCCGGTAAGACGGGCCCCTGCTCTCCACTCATCTCTCCTGCCGTGCACACGACAGCAGTCTCACCAGCCACTGCCGGCGCCTCCGCACACCATCGTCTCTACGTTCTCGGGGGAGGGGATAAGCTGCCAGTCTGGCGGCCTGGGTGACCTTGGCCCAGCAGTGCGCCCCGCCTCAGCTCCCCCTCCTCAGAGGAGAGACAGAACCACACAGCACCGGCTGGCATGCGGCCAGAACACCAAGAGCGCCCGCGGCAGCCACCAGCTTCAGTGAGGAGGGACAGTGACGATCGTGGGCAGGTTCCTCCTGCGCTAACCTTCCGAGGCTGCCGGGATGATGCCGTGACACGTTGCTCAGCCCCAGTGCCCGTGTGGCAGGCAGTCCAGGGCGGCTCGCCCATCTCCCCTGACAGACAGCCAAACGAAATCCCGTGTCTGCATTGCTCCCGAGCCATCAGCCTCATAGTGTCCAGCCAGGACGCGGCTCTCCAAAGTGAACTTCTCAGCAGCCCTCACGTGGCTCATGTGTGACACAGCAGGACTCACCTGTCAGAGTCCATTCCATAGCCCTAACCAAAAGAGCAGAGTGCCTCCCACCATGGCTCCTCACAGGGCTTCTGCTCTGCAAACGCCCCTTCTTCAGCCTCCCTGCACCTCCTGGCAACTCTGCTGTGTTCCAAGCCTCTAGTTTGACCTTGTCCAGAATGTCACACAAATGGAGTCACAGAGTACATGGCCTGTGGGTTCGGCTTCCTTCACTTAGCAAAACACACTGAGTATCGTCTGTGCTGCCGTGAGAACAAAGCTGCCCCTTCTTCTGAGGTGCTGAGCACCGCCCGCCGTGTGCACGCCACAGGCCATGACCAGGTGATGCGCACCTGGGCACTTCCGCTTTGAGCGCTAGAAATGAAGCTGCCATAAACCTCACCACGACCCTTCTCACTTTCGACTTCCTGGGTGCACTTGAAGATAAGCATCTACCAGGTGTTTGCTTTTCACTCTTGGGTAAAGGCTCCCTTCTCTAGCAGATCTAGGTGTGTGCATTTGTGTCCACCTGGGGATGGGACATGGGAAGCCACGCAGTAACCCAGGTAAAAGCAAAGAAGTTGGGAGCCGGGGACAGGTGAAGAGACACCAGAGTGATGGGTCTTCTGGCCACTTCTCCCGAAGCAGCAAACTGCACCCTTACCTTCCCTCAGCAGCTCTGTTTTCATGCAGCAATCCTGCTTCGTCTCCCCCTTCGCCGGAACTGCCTGCTAAAGAAGAAACAGCCATCAGCCCGGATTCACCCACAGGCAGACTAAGCAATTCGCCAACACGACTTCTCTAGATGGACGTGGTACCTGGATCCTGACAGAAACTCACTGTCAGGTGACTGCACAGTTAGGACATATTCAAACCAGCAGATACCAGTCACCTCCAGGAGGGAGAATGACACTCCGAAAGCAGCCCAAGGAAACTTCTACTTTATCTGCATTTTAGGAGACAGTTTCTTAATAATAAGAATGTGTTCACGCATCACTTACATAATTAGAAATCTCAAAAGTTTTGACTGTTACTGGAATGCTATAAATTGTATCAAAGTGCATTCTGCTGCTGATAACAATTCAACTAAGTATTTCAAATGAACAAAAACCTACAAAAAACTACAGAAATGGATAAATCAAGAAAATTCAATAAAAACGTCAATCATTAAATATTTGCTCTACTATGCGGAGGCACGAATTACACAACGTCTCTTGGAATTGTTTTTTAAAAATTCTTGCCTTAGGGAGGGTTAGAGCCTGGCTGGAGAAGCACACACAAAACACTCCTGATGGGGTCCCTGCAGGTGCAGCAGCCGCTGCCGCCACGAGTCCATGGAGAAGCAGAAGGGGCAGACGCAGGCCCCCTCCAGGCCCCCTACTTACAACTTTCAGAAGCTAAGGGCAAAACCCCCAAAACACGTGTCTAACTTCCGTAACACATTCTCCAAAAGACACCACAAAACATTCTCAGAACATTCCTACAGAACCTTGAGGTCCCTGATTTCCCTGAATGCCAAGCATGGCTCCTAAGAGCAGTGGCAGCGCCCCACCCTGTCGCCCTGGACCACCAACCCACCTCAAGTGTGCACAGCAGCCTCCCGCCCTGTGATGTCCCTTCTTCTTCAGTGTTTCCAGAATGTTCCCCCCAGCAGTTCCTAAACAGAGCTGATTTCATCTCCCCAGGTGGACAGGATGAGAGGGGGCGTGAGCATGGCTCAGCTCCCCCTACTGCCCTCCCACCTTCCCCTGGAGCACCACACGTGGCCCCACTGGTGGTTTTCAGAGTCTAAGTAGTGGAACCCCTTCTGTAATCCCTCTTAAACACTCCTGCCACAGGAAGCCAGAATTCGGTGCCAGGCACCAAGTTAAAATCCAGGAACTCAGAGACTTTCTCTCAGAAGGTGGGGAATATGTCCTTGCAGGGAGGGATCAAAGCTGGATGCGTCCCTCCTCAAAGCCCAGGGTCTTCCCAGGTGTTCATCATGGGCAGCAAAGTCTCAGGGCCCAGCCTCTGATCCTCCTTCCACACTCTGACCCCATCTTCCTGTCCCCAGACCCTGCAGCCTCTCAATAGGCCAATCTCCCCCTTATCAGAAGGCCTCTCCTGGACCCTGCCTCGCTGGCCCCCTGGCACTCACCACCATCAAACATACCACCCAGCCTGTCTGCCCCACCAGCATGCAAACTCTGGCTCCACAGGAGGGGCCTGTCCTGTTCTCTGACATATCCCCGAAGTGTCGGCAATGCCCGGCATGCAGAAGGAGCCAATGAGCATGTGGCCACAGAACTACTGGGGCCTTTCTAAGAGGACTGAGTAAGAAAGGCCGCTGGGCCCACTTCCATGTCTGCTTTCCACACAGCTATACACCTGTGTAGATTCTCTGGAACAGCCTAGAGACCCACAGCCAGCGTCTGCCGCATGAATAAAGGAGGCTGAGTGGTAGCCACTCTAACCCCTGACGGGTGAGGGCAGAGTAGGGCACGGCCAGTGTGAACGTCTGAAAGTCCAAAAGCCCAGGGACTGAGCCCGATGATGAGCTCAGCCCACGACTGAAGCAGGAAGAACAAAAATCTCCCAAATTCAGATGCTCTCTGTGGACCGAACCTATGTATGCTAACAAGAGGGAACATGGCTGTCATCACCTCCTCACAAGAGCCAGCAATCCACAAAATCAACACCAAACCAGGAGAGGGGTGAGGATGGAACACGGAGCCCAAACCAGTGACAAACTCCTGTACTGGCAACAGCAGAACCAAACAGAACTTCAAGCCTGCCTGCAGCCCGATTCGGGGTGGGGGCTGTGAGAACGGCCGGAGTCTCACAGGAGGAGGATAAGGATACTGGCTCTAGAGCGCAGGGCGACGGGGAGGAAAGCAGCTGACAGTTGCACGCACAGCTGACGCTCTGGACACTGCACTGCACTGCCCCAAAGCAAGGACACCTCGGCAGCAACAAGCACACCATGCACAGAATCTTGGTTCCTCTCTACCACTTCCCACCGAGAGGACTGAGGCTCCTGGAAGAGAGAGAACCAATTCCAGGTGAGGGCAAGGAAAGTTCCAGACTCTCAGACTCCTAGAGCATGAGGTGCTGCATCACACTGTTGTCCACCCTCATATCTCTGGCCCCGAGATTTCCTACCAGCTGAGTAGAAGTCTCTCTGTGGGCTAAGTCTTTTGTGGCTACACTGGGGCTGGCACAACACCCCCCCCGGTTGCTGGGCGGACACAGACCTGACATCACCGAGGAGCCACCAGTGAGACAGCTTCACAGGGCTGACTGGCACATGTCTCCATCTTTAATCAACTATCAACATTTAAAAGTAGGAGAGTGTGAGGTGCCTGGGTGGCTCAGTCGGTTGAGCGTCCGACTCTTGATTTCAGCTCAGGTCATGATCTCATGGTTGCGGGATCGAGCTCCAAGTTGGGTTGTGCACTGGGTGTGGAGCCTGCTTGAGATCCACTCTCTCTCCCTCGGTCCCTCCCCCACTCTCGAGCTGTCTCTCTCTCTCAATCTCTCTCAAAAAAAAAAAAAAAGTAGGAGAGTTTACAAAGAATCTGGGTTTAGAGAGTCTGGGGAAATAAGAAGCCCGGGCAGAGCCCAAGGAAGGGCTCCTGGACTCCCTAACAGAGCCCTTGACCTCTGTATGTGGACCCAGGAAAACCCTCTCCTGCCCCCCTCTAAGCTTACCAGCAGCACCTGATGTCCCTCCCAGGGTCAGGTCTTGGCCAGGCATCTCAGAAAGTAGGCAGGGGGCCACCTAACCCCATCTAATCCCAGCCCCCTGACCTCCTACAGCCCATCCAGGGTCAGGCCCAGATGCTCAGCCCTTGCCCCCACTCCCAGCCCATCACAGCTACATCCCAACCACCCACCTCTAGCCTATCCCCACAACCCACTCTCAAATAGAAGTTCTCTGGGGTCCCAAGACCCTTCCAGGGGTCCAAGAGGTCAAAGCTAGCTAGCTTCATTGTAATACTAGGAGCCTACCTGCCTGTTTCACTGTGCTTACTTGGGTACCTTAGGAGCCAAAACGGCAGCACCAAATTAAACTTTTTATTTTTTTAATTTTTATTTATTGACTGATTTATTAACAATTTATTGTCAAGTTAGCTAACATATAGTGTATACAGTGTGCTCTTGGCTTTAGGAGTAGATTCCCGTGGTTCATCCCTCACATACAACACACGGTGCTCATCCAAACAAGTGCCCCCTTTAATGCCCGTCTCCCATTTTCCCTGCCCCACCCTCATCACCCCTGAGTTTGTTTTCTGTATTTAAGAGTCTCCTATGGTTTGCCTCCCTCTGTTTGTAACTTATTTTTCCTTCCCTTCCCCTACAGTCTTCTGTTAAGTTTCTCAAATTCCACATATGAGTGAACACATATAATATCTGTCTTTTTCTGACCAAATTAAACTCCTAAGTGACTGAATTCTTCAACGCTATGCACTCAGGGCGGAAAAGCCAACCTCACCTGAGCATGCCCTTGTTGAGGCGGTGCAGTGAGCAGTCTCCCCACGGGCCTTCTCATGAAGGCAGCAGACAAGAGGTAAGCAAGCAGCAATCCAGTCTGCTGGCCGCTCAGGAGAGGCCCGGGGCAGGCACTGGGCTGAGTGTCACTCACTGGGTGTCTGCATTTGGAAGAACTGGCAAGATCCATGGCTACGCACGTGTGGATGCAGGCCAAACATGTTCTCAAAATAAACACAGTGAGCCCACGACCTCGAAGAAAAACCAACAGTATGTGTTGCCAACGTTAAAATTCTAGCTTCTGGGGTGCCTGGGTGGCGCAGTCGGTTAAGCGTCCGACTTCGGCCAGGTCACGATCTCGCGGTCCGTGAGTTCGAGCCCCGCGTCGGGCTCTGGGCTGATGGCTCGGAGCCTGGAGCCTGTTTCCGATTCTGTGTCTCCCTCTCTCTCTGCCCCTCCCCTGTTCATGCTCTGTCTCTCTCTGTCTCAAAAATAAATAAACGTTGAAAAAAAAAAATTTAAAAAAAAAAAAATTCTAGCTTCTGACTGGAAACTAGAATTTGGGTAAATGTGTATCTATCTGCCCCATGAGCTTCACAGCTGCTGGACACTTAAAGACTTTCGATGACAGAAGAGATGTTAATAAGAGAATACAATTTTCTGATCTTGGATGACGAAATGTGCCAACATTTGGAAGATCCCCATAATTTAGTGAGCCAGTGTTTCCCAAATGAGCAGTACCTAATCTTTATTTATTTTAATTTTTTTTAATGCTTATTTATTTTTGAGAGAGACAGAATGCGAGCGGGGGAGGGACAGAGAGAGAGCGAGACACAGAATCCGAAGCAGGCTCCAGGCTCTGAGCTGTCAGCAGCACAGAGCCCAACCCAGGGCTCAAACTCACGAGCTGTGAGGTCATGACCTGAGCCGAAGTCAGATGCTTAACCGACTGAGCCACCCGGCGCCCCAAGCAGTACCTAATCTTTAAAACCACACATGACAGGAAGGTACACTGAGATGCGAGGCCAACCATGGGTTTAAACCTCACAGGGAAGGAAGGCCATCGACATTCTGCTTTGCCCCATCAGGTTCTGGCACACTATAGCCAGCAACACATCCGGAATTATCTAAAAGGCTCACGTGTCTACACGAGGCTGGATCTTCCTCACATACTGCAACCAAACAGCACATCCCTGCAGTCAGAAGCCAGACAAGAAAGAGATACACCAACCTGTAA